TGTTATTCTTGGCCTAAAACGGTGTTTCAATGGCCGTAAAGAGTTTGTGTGAGTTCCATAGCTTTTGTTTGTACACATAGTATAAGCAAAAGTTATGGAACTCACACAAACTTTTTACTTTTTTTTACACAACCATGGTTTACGGCTCAAATTGGACTTATGTATATTAAATGGAATATATTGACTAAACATAGGCTATGACATCGAGATAGACATGCGGGTAAAGTATACCATGGAATCTATTTCTAGGGTTGTTGGTCCGTCGGTCGCTCCTACCGGGCATGGACCGCATACTTGTTCCCCGGTAGGAGTGGAGCGACGGACCAATATACTCTAGAAATAGTTTCGGTACCAGGTCCGAAAGTGACCTGGGTCGACTTTGAGACCAGATTCGCAAAATATACCCAAAAGTAGTATAAGAATGTCCGATGAAGTCGATAGCCCTAATGCAAACTTCACCCCCAAAATGGCCGCCGAAGTTTGCTGTAAATTAATTTTTATCTCAGGAACGACACATCATAGCCAAATTCTCTAAAGTGCATGATGAACTACAGGCCAGGGGAATTGTGGGAAAAATACCCGTACCCCGCTGGACTGCAAAGTTTACTCGTAGGACGGCCCGAAAAAATTGCCGATATTTCGGGTGGCTGGGGTTTGGCCAAAAATGGACTTATTTTGTTCTAACTTCTTGAGGCACCGCTCAGCACCCCTTGGCGTCATGTAAGCCCATAAGAAGCGTGGTCACGTGATTTTGAAATTTTCCATAGGATAAGCTGGGAAAATGAGCTTTTTCTGTCACGCCTCCCACAGGGCAGCTAGCCGCCTAAACTTTTCCCGCATTTTTAAGTTACGGTCCAATGAACATTTGACTAATGTTAAGTTTCTACCTCAGACCCCCATGGAAGGCGGCGGAAACTTTTGAAAATTCAAATTTATACTAGGTTTTTCGAATATTTCCAAATGACTTTTTAAAACTTTGACATCAGGATCCAATAGATATTTTAAAAGTAGAATAGGAATGTCTAATGAAGTGACCACCTTACCCGGCTCCTTGACCCCCAAAATGGCCCCCTTAGGTCCGGAAGTAGGTCTGGGTCTAACTTTTGAATGGTAAGACATAGAAGGATGATCTAAAGGTAATTATGACGGTAAGCCAGCGGGACGAGTGTTGGACAAACCCCCGTTACGATCGGAAGTATCGTTGACCCGTGAGCGACCCCAACAGTTTTACCGACTTTTCAATTGGCCACGGTTCGGCCAAAAATAGACATACAATGTTTTAACTTCTTGAGGCATATGTCGGGACCCGTCCGAAGCATTTAAGCCCATAGTGGGCGTGGTCAGCCGAATAGTGTCTGAACGGCAACGGTTTCACGTTTTCGACTCTAGCGCCACCTAGGAACCTCAGATTGAGTTGAATTCGGGTTCAATAGAATTCTGACAATAAGACATAGAAGGATGATCTAAAGGTAATTATGACGGTAAGCCAGCGGGACGAGTGTTGGACAAACCCCCGTTACGATCGGAAGTATCGTTGACCCGTGAGCGACCCCAACAGTTTTACCGACTTTACAAATGGCTGGGGTTTGGCCAAAAATGAACATACATTCTTCTAACTTCTTGAGGCATATGTAGGGACCCGTCCGAGTCATTTAAGCCCATAGTGGGCGTGGTCAGCCGAACAGTGTCCAAACGGCAACTGTTTCACGTTTTCGACTCTAGCGCCACCTAGGAACCTCAGAATGAGTTGAAATCGGGTTCAATAGAATCCTGACAAGATTTCTGACCATTGCTCAAGCAACTTACATATACCTATATGTTACCGTTTTTACAGAAATAACGCGTGAATATCGCCAAAATCCTCATAGATTTAACATTACGGATTCCTGATTTTGCAATTTCTACTATATTACCGAAAATATTACCGAAACGATTGCTAGGGTTGTTGGTCCGTCGGTCGCTCCTACCGGGCATGGACCGCATACTTGTTCAGAGTAATCTATAGAATTCGTTTCGTCTGACATCACTTTTTTTAGCTTCCAAAAAATAACTATGCCTATCATGTAGAGCATAAAAAAGTAGAATAGGAATGTAATAGTAAGAAAAAATCCTATGATGTAACTACTAACCTTATACACTATGCAAGCTATACACTACCCAACCAATACACAACATATGCCTAATTTTAACGACTCACACAAATTTAGACGGGACAAGAGATACCCACTTATACATTACTCGACTGGACCCCTGATATAGACATACAAATCCCGACGGGACAAGAGATACCGACTTATACATAACCCAAGCTCTACGCTACTCTACGCGATAGGTAGATCGCTGTGCTTTCTGCCCGTTTGGACCCCCAACTTGTTCAGAGTAATCTATAGAATTCGTTTCGACATCGACCGTTTTTTTAGCTTCCAAAAAATAACTATGCCTATCATGTAGAGCATAAAAAAGTAGAATAGGAATGTAATAGTAAGAAAAAATCCTATGATGTAACTTTCGAGATAATGGNGGCTGGGAGAGTATATGGGAGAGGGTTTTTTTAGCTTCCAAAAAATAACTATGCCTATCATGTAGAGCATAAAAAAGTAGAATAGGAATGTAATAGTAAGAAAAAATCCTATGATGTAACTTTCGAGATAATGGCCAAAACAAAAAACCCTCCCCCATATACTCTCCCATAGAAAAAATAATAAATTTAAAAAAAGAGCTCAAAATTGGTGAAATCGACATAAAACTCTCTCCCATATACTCCCCCATAGAAAAAAGTTAAAATTCAATTAAATACTATTGTACAAGATTACTCTCATGTCGATTGTACACTTGTTTAAACTAATAAACTATTAATAGTCTTTAACAGCAATCATAAATTTCACAAAAATTATAGATATTTATTACATTAATTTCTATGAACTAAACACATGAAATAATTATTATTTTATTTAAATTAATAAGTGATTTGAATATAAATAAAATTAATGCTTAATTTAATGATTAAACAAATCAAGTTATTAATGCAAATATTTTGAATGGATTTATTGACAGTATTTATTATTGTATAATAACTGGGTTTGAGTGACATCTGGACATAAAAAATGCATTTTCAAAATTATTGATAATTTTGCTGAATATCTTAAATCCTTTCAAAAGCCATCAGTCTTTAGTTATTGTGTAGTTAATAGTGTAGGCATTTGTAGATAAAGTTCATACAATTTTGAAAGTTATGCACTCAACCAACTTATTGATGGCTAATCAAAAGGATTTACTATATTGCTCAAATTTAAGTTAATTTGTATTAAGAGTTTTATAAGTGTTAATATTGCATATAAAAAGTGCTACTAGTTTCATGCGGTACTTGCATTATGGTTATTCAACTTATGACAAGAAATGGATAATTTTATAATCTAATACGATTAAAATAATTGATAATTAATTGATTTTTGTTGTAATTATGAAAATAAAGTAATATGCAATAGAAAATGACTTTTTATAATATTGTTAATTGAGTTGATAGTTTGACCACTTTATTAAACATAATTATTTGATAATAATGACAGTTATGGATACAATGGGCCGATTCCTGGAGACGGGAACGGCTGATGGGAAGCACTCAAGTTTTGGCGAATACGATGAATGTCTTGATTTGGAGAGTCCCGAAGACAAGGGTTTGGTAGTGAAGGGTCAGTACTGTTTGGTGAAAGTGATACTTCCCTACCCATCGGTCAACTCATACAAAAGGGGTGATCCATACGATCCCACTTTTGACGAGGAGGGCATCACTCCATTCAAGTACTTAAATGGAGGCAACTTTACTACCATCACCAAAATGATCGAAAATCTCAATACTTACAAGGGATCGAGTTATCGACTTGGCTTCTGTACACCTCATCTTTGCAAAAAACATGAGATCGAGGAGTTCATCAATAAAGGTATTACATTCATACAATTCATTTATATTATAATTGTGTTATACATATGCAATATAATAACGTATTCATTAATTACAATTAAAGAACTTACTTTTATATTCTAGTTTTAAATTTATTGATTATTTATTGATGATGTGATTTATTTACGTTGCAGTACTTTATCCCATCACACGATTGCCACTAGAAGTGGGCAGATATTGTATCCGTAAAGATAAATCCGAAGACTTGACCATGCTACAGATACTATCAGTGTAATCTAAACGTGAAATAAGAGCATGATCAAATTAACAAAATGGACTAATTGTATTTGATTAATTTTAGCACAATCTTGGTTACGTTGACGATAATAGTGATCACTTCAACGGGAATAGAGATTTATAATATAATATACGAGAAAAGTATTACTGAAGACAACAGAAATTTGGGCGAAACCAAGTTTGCCGAAGAAGAGCCATTCAAAGTGAATCCATATTACTATACGTTTTCGTTAGTGACAAACAGTCGCAAATTGTTTGAACAAAGCAATCGTTTCACATCATTGGATACGATTAAAATGTTTGTAATATTGCATATCTATGTCTTTCATTTATACAACACTTTGGCCACCATTGGTATCGTAACTCTTAAGCGCCCGTTCGCTACTTATCCCTCACAAGTGTTAGAGTTGGACAGATATACGACATTAAGAAATACACTCACTTTTGATGTACTATTTATTATGAGGTTTGTTATCAATTTAAACAATTAATATTCTATTATAAGATATACTATATATTTATATATTTTTAAATCGTTTAGTGGTTTTATACTATCAAACAGTTTGTTTGGAAAACTGGAGAGAAATAGTGGAAAGTTTAATTATTTAGGATATATAATTAGTCGTTACATGCGGTTTGCTGTGCCAATGTTGGGCTCAATGATATTTATCAATGTACTGCCTTTGATGGGAAGCGGACCCATTTGGGATGAGGGCACACAGTGGGTGACCACCGGCTGTCAAAATCCTTTGGTTGTATTATTTGGTATGCTTTTTATAAGCAATTATAACGATCAGTTTGCACTCATGGAGAGACAATCCGCCGTTCCCTTTGTAAGTTATTATTATATTATTGTGATTGAAATCATGTTAGTTTTACATTTTACATAATAAAATAACTACTGTATATTGATATTGATATTTTATCTAACCTACAGTGCAATCCTGTCACTTGGTTTGTGTCGGCTATCTTTCAGCTCCACATAATTATACCAATACTTATCATCATTTGCTACAAAAATGCCAAATACGGGGTCTACACGACCGTCGGTGTCATTGTATTGGCAATGATAGCCAGTATTATTCCGACCGTAATATTCAATATATTACCGCAAATGCAATACATTCTCATTGATTCCTATGAAGAGCTGTACCGCTCGTTCACGTGGTATCACTTGTCGACCACGCAATACATCGTAAGCTTTGTGGTTGGGGTTGCGGGCGGTTACCTGATCCGCAGGGATTGGACACTATCTATTGAGTATGAAGTGATGGGATGGTGTGCCAGTGTGTTCACTATCATTATTGTGTTCATGTGGAGCAACACCTTCTGGAAAGTACAAAAGTCGGCGCCGCTCTATAGTGTACTCTTATGGTTCACTTTTGGCAAATTTGGTTTCGCTGTTGCCATCACTTGGATATTCTTCTGTCTCTGCACTGGAAGGGCTCGTATGTCAAGCTTTTCATATTCTAAACAAATTATTTTCACTATTTATATGTATTTTATCTTTATTTTTAGAAACAATGGATTACTTACTTTCGTGGCCTAACTTTAATCCATTCTCTCGCCTCTCGTTTTCATTCTTTATGATTCAGTTTATTGTTGTTATCAGACGTGTGTTTGGAGTCAAAGAAACCATTACAATGTCTGACGGACTTCTGGTATATCCTTATCCATAATCTATAACAATAAATTGATTTAAAAATAATATACTATATATTTATTATAACAGATAGAAAACTCAATCATTGATTTTATGGTTACGTTTTGTTTGGCGTATATATTCTACTCATTAATTGAGGCGCCGTTTACTAACTTAATGGCCATTTGGCTTAAAAAGGGCCAAAAGGATGACCTATTGAGTCCACCCAACGGTACTGTACATAATGTGGACAAACCCGTATCGGGCGCTAAAAATATGATGATGAAAGATATGGGACACGTTAATCATATTGAATTAGAAGATGACTTTAACCAAAACCATAATTTTGTTGAAACAATCAAAATCTAGATAATAAAACATTAAGTATTTATAATTATTTAGACTTAGAACTTACTATAATTACGTTTACTTAATTTTTTTAAAATCTGCTCACTCTACTCATTGTTTCTGATTTATAATATGATGTGAACACTATATTTTGATTTTGGAAAACAAATATTATTTGAATGGCATCCTTTTAAGAACTATAGTATTGACAACAATACCAATCATTTACAAATCAAATACTGTTTCTTTTCTGGTCATCTTTTAATGATATTGAATATTAGTTTGAAAAGAATTGTTTAAATTGTTTGTTAGTAAAAACAGTATTACATAATAATCCAATTATAATAATTGTAATTATAATTTATTGAATATTACATGAATAACATTCCAAAACAATATAAAAGTATTGAATTTATATGTTTTTAAATCTATAATTATATAATAATAATTCTGAAATCCTCTCATTCAATTATTGTTGAATCTACAATAATTATTTTTATTAAATAAATTATTAATGGTCTAAAGTCTAAATTATTATTTAAACATTTTTTCGTTTTATAAAATACCAATGTTAAAAATGACAATTAAGGTAAACTGTTCAAAATATAACAATATTTTATTAAACAAAAATTTGCTTTTAAATTAAAAATTATGAATTTTTATACATAGAGTTTCGGATTTTATGATACACAGGATATTGTCTCATATAATCCACAGAATGGATGTCCTCTTT